TACACTAATATATATAATAATACTATATTTTAGGAATTCGCGTCATCAGATGACTTATTTTTTGATAAATATAGTATTATTTAGGTTTGTTGTCTGCTTATTTTTATTATCATTATCGTTTTTTCTCGTCGAAATTTATTTTGGTTCTAATCCAACGACGATTATAATAATAATCATAAGTTATGAGTCATAACTATTGTTATGATTATCATTCTTAGCATTATCTTAAAAATTTATTTCTGGTAAATCATGTTTAATTGGGAAAAATATCGTTATCTTTTTGCAATTTGAAATTAGAGTATTAATGAGACGTATATCGTAGTGATGTGACACTTATTTTATGCTGATTATGGTTGGATATAAATCTTTAATAATTAGTTAATTATTTTTAATTATACATAAAATTATGAAATAACGCTTCTTGAACCTTAATTTTCATATTATATAAAAAGCCACAATTTTATTTCTATTATTTAATATTTGTTTAATAACAACTAAAACTATATGTTCATCGTGTTTCTTAAAAGTCTGTAATGGCCAATTTATGGAAATATGTATTATATTAAAGGTCAATTAATTTGACTTCCGTTAAGTGTTATTTTAATAGTAATTTAAAATATTTAAACAGCTTTAAACTTTAGAAGAGAAATGTTGTTAAGTTGGTATACACGAAGGTAAACGTGGTTAACACCTCTTGTATGATAAATAAAATGTTTTACTTTTTATTAACATAAAATCTAAAAATTTTCTAATATCTATATTTTTTATATTTTTGTTATTAATATAATAATGTGTATATTATATTATATTATGTAAATAATAATATGATAAAAAAATATAAGGTAAACAACAACAGTTCGATGCAATCATATTGAAAGATATTCCATGAATTCTAGTTGAATATGAAAATTTTACCAAAATGTGTACTTTAGCACCATTTAGCTATCACAAATAACTGTATTTTAATCTAAGGTCATAGGGATGACATATTTAGTGGTACATATAAAACAGAACATATTGTATGGCGTATATAATAATATATTATAACATGTGATAATCCACTATATCGGTTGTAGAAGACTACCACATATATACGAAATACATTATAATATGTATAATATTAAAATAATGATATGATGTTTTTATTCGTTAACTTTTTAAAATATATTATATTAGCTGATTTAATATTATAGTGTGTATACATTGTGAATTTGTGATGTATATACTTTATTGGTTAACGATCGCACGACAAACGTCTCGCTCGTTTAGATAATGTTGTACTCAGTATTATTCCTATAGTACGGCGGTAAATATAAGATATCGCCATCACGAAATATGCTGGATATTGGCACACATAAAATGTACATGTAATTTAATTTGCATGGTTCAAATTTAATTCTAAAAAGTACTTGTAACCCATTACTGTTTATACAAACAAAATATATAAGTTTACAAACCCTAGAATTTCTTAAGCAATTAAAATACATAGAATATCTTCAAAACTCTTCTTTTTTTTATCAATATGATAAAAGTAACTAAATCTGATTAGTAGCCTATTTTTCACTGAACAAAAATTTTTGAAATAATTATAATTACAACATGTACACAGTTCAGTAATAATACAAAGAGTATTCAAATAAAAGAATGAAACTATACCTATTATATTATATTTTATTTTTTATAAATGCAACAATTCCTATTTTTTATTAACAATTATACAAGTTTATAGTGTAAGATGAGACGAAAAAAAAATGCATATCAAGCTTTAGAGTACAATCCATTCAATCCTGATAGAGAATTTAATAAAACTTGTTTCGCGTACCCCTAACCATTTTTAAGATAGCTACACCCGGTCGACGAAATCGTAATGCGAAGTTGTTCCTTATTGTTTTTTGTATGAATTAATGACTACATAAACCTTAGAGAAGATGAAATAAGTATACGAACACATTTTTTGATGGCATAAACTGTTTTTAAAAAGAAAAATGACAACATAATCTTTATTTACCCACTCAATCCATCAACAACATCTAATGACGTTACTGTTAAAACTGTGTAGCAACCATATTGTATAAATATCGTTTTTTCACAGTCAATCCTTAAACCATTACGCTAATACATAATAGCAAAATATTGAATACTACATCATGACAAAGTGTATTTTAATTCTGCCAAAGTTTTAGATCAACATGAAATTAAAACGAAGCCCCAACCTCCTTATTCGTCGTATCTCAAAACCTTATAGTTATTTCCCCGACATAAGACATTTTTTCGAAGAAACAAGTTCAATTCAAATTCTTGGATCAAGCAAAGAATTGAGGGTTACCTTAAATATATTTAAAAATAATTATTTTCAGATAGGTATCTACTGGTGGTGGGAGGAGAGGTGAAATCAATGAATTCTACACCAGAGACGTTATTCTTAGAAGGAATGGTTTTTATTTTATTCTAAATAAAAATTTTGATTTCTAAGAATTTTAGTATTATTTTTTGTTCAAACTCCCTACATATAATCCCCTAATTCTTCAAAAATTAAGTAAGCAAGCAACCACACAGTTATTTTAAATAATTAATTGGAAATCATTAAAATTTCGATTTAGATGCATCAACATTTTAAGAACAATTAAAATCTGCTTAATAATTTACAGAAAAAGGGGATTCTCATTTGAAAAAAATATGAACCACCACAAAACTTTTTAAATAGTATAAATAAAAAAATAAATGCCAAATATTTAAAAATATAGTTTTAATATTTAAGAAAGCTTGATGAATCAGCCTGTATAATCTATATATTTTAAAATCCAATAGGTAAATAGAATTTTGGTTTAATATAAATTTAAATAATGTTTATAATCAACCGTTTCATATAGAAAAAACAGTTTCACATAAAATAGTCCTATTTTCATTCAAAAAAAAAACTGAATTCAATTTTTCATAAAACGCTCAATCTGTAATCCTGTACCATAATCCTACCCGCTAAATAAAAAGAAAATATTGTATTGACCTACTCAACTAAAATAATATATACAGGATAATTCACCTAGATTATTGCTTACACAATGTTTTTGTCTTTTTTTTTATTTACTTCTAAATGCATTCATACAAATAATTCTGATTTTTATAATATTAAAGAATATCTTGTAAGCCGTATTTTCAAATATTTAGATTTAAAAAGTGTCTAAGTTCTAGAGCGATAAAATTGTTTTTTTTTTTTTTTTTAAATAAACATTGTATTTTTTTTATTCCAAATAATTAAAAAAAGAATTTTATAGATGTGTGACGGTATATAAATCAAAATTCAACAAGTTTTCGAATATTTATAATCTTTGTTTTACTACGAATAATAAATTCATATAATACGGTTAGATTATATAAGTATTGTAATGTTTAAAAATTATGGCAACTTATACTAATCTATAAATATTTTATAGTTTATAAAAATTTGTAAAATAAGTTGACTTAAGAATTCTAAAATTCAGAGTTTGAACAAATAAATTACTAAAAGATAATAAGAGAAGTCGGTTAAACACACCGTTAAATCAAGCTAGATATGTAATATACTATATATATATTATAATCATTAAGTTAAATAAAATATATTGGGTTCTATAACTAAATGATCTACTTGTTCTCACATTTATAACATTATTCTTTTTTGTACTAGACACATGGTTTTCAATCTCACGAAAATTCGATAAAAACATTGACGTGTACAAGTGGTACAACTTAACTCTATTACGGACGAACGTGACTGAATAAATATATCGTGACTTTTTCCCATGCTGTATAAAATAGATAAAGCATGTGATCTCTGGGTTTTTCCAAAAAAAAACTCGCGAAAACAAGTCTGGACTGCCACTACAAGCCGACCTCTCGCAACCATCGCTCAAACCACTATCGGGAGATCGTGTATCAATGACATTTTGTCAAATCATATACGACACGTTCTATGGAAACCGCCAGAGTCTAGCCTTCACTGAATATAATATATTAGATAGTTATTTTATTCTAAAAATAAAGGTTTCCGATTTATGGAACTTGTGGTTGGCTTTCAGTAATGCCACATCTATCGCGTCAGTAAATAATTGTATTTTTCGAGTGTGCACTCTGCTCTATTATATGGGTACTTGACACTTGATTGTGCTTGACGTATTTATCCGTGTGCTAGACATTATTTTCGTAGTTATTTACAACCGTTAAATGTACGAAATCTGTCAGGAAATTTCAAAGAAGTATGAACAATTTTTGGTCTCCCGTAAAATTAACAAAATTAAAAATGTAAAATTTATTATTATATTATAAACAAACTTTTAAATGTTCGGCTATAAAATAATGATAATAAACAAACTGCTCGTCCTCTCTTAGACTTCAAATTAGAATCTAATTTTGGAGAACATCAAATTACTCGAATATAAAAACCATACAATATTTCCAGTCAATATCTCTCAAAACAATAAACTAACCTAACCAATGCCCCGTGGTGTGATAGTAATCGAACCTTTTATAATAACCATCTCCGGGCCTTGAATCAAGCATATAAATTTTGCTAGCAATTCAAAAATAAAAATAAAAATTACATAATCATTCAGATCATCTCATATCAAATTTATCCTCCTATGACAACCCGTCGACTGGAAATAAAATGATCTCGAAATCTTTTAACTTGATTGTTATTATTCGTATTAAATTTTATTGAAAACAATACATTTTTTAACTCGAATGTCTAGTTAACGCATTTTTATTATAATTTATTTATATATACGTGTATTTATAATAATAATAATAACAATATTAATACGTACTCGTATCGGCGAGTGTTTTTTGTGTCCACGCGTAGGTACCTCGTGTCGTTTTCGTTTTTTATCATCTGGTCAGGTTTACTTATTGTAGGTACACTAGTCAATGTAGATCCTAAATAAAAAAAATGCAATTATATTCGCCTTTTGTTTATTTTTTATTTTTTTTTTTATTTTTTAATATTGTCGTTTTGTGTTCCACAGTCAAATGTACAGCGGAACGCACGGAACGCCCAGCCGACTGCCGCTGCTAAGCGGCAACCGTCAACAGCAGCGGCGGCGTGGCGGTGGCGCGGACAAGGACCGACGACACAGCGCCGCCTCGTCCGAACACTATCGTCGCGAGGTCGCTGCGGCGGCGGCGGCCGCTGCCGCTGCGGCCGCCGTGGCCGCGACCAACAGCAAGCGGCCGAACAAGAGGCGCAACGGCGCTCCGCCCGGCGTACCGGTGGCCCTGGTGCTGCTCGTGTTGACCGGTTACATCTGTCTGGGCGCGGCCGTGTTCGCCGCCTGGGAGGGCTGGACGTTCATCGACGGCGCGTACTTCTGCTTCGTCACGCTGTCCACGATCGGGTTCGGCGACCTGGTGCCCGGAAAATCGTTCCAGGGCACCGACACGCAAAACGGTCAGCTGCAGCTGGTCGCGTGCTGCGGTTACCTGCTGTTCGGCCTGGTCCTGATCGCCATGTCGTTTTCGCTCGTCCAGGAGGAGGTGGTGTCGAAGTGCCGGCACGTCGCCCGCTACGTGGGCCTACTCAAACAGCCGCCCCGGCCCGGCACGCAGCCGTACGCCCTGTAATGCCAACCGCACATCCCCGGACCGCCCGCGCCCCGCGTCCTCCCCGCCCGTAACCACAGTCGGCCCTTATCTCATCTCGTGCGCTAAAAAAAAAAAAAAAAAACGAAAAAAAAAAAATGAAAAACCAGTCAGAATTTAAAAACGCGTCCGAAAACGTTGTGCGCGCCCTGCGCAAAGCATAATCAGACCACGACAGCACCGCGTCACGCGTTGTACCCGACGAGTACAGAACGACAAAACCTACTTTTGAATACGCTGTCAAACGAGACCAACAATTAGTAGGCAATAGCCTTTCCCGTAGCAGCCCGTCCGTACCGATTTGTGTCGAAAGCCCGACGTTTGCAATTTTGAACTTTCCGGGACGCTGTCGTTTTTCTCGGGAGGGGGGGGGCTGTGGGGAAAACGATGTGATGAGAACCAGCTGTTGCACACGTTTCAATATAGGTAATATTAAAACGGAATTCGCATCTACAAACCGCACCCGACAGTATCACTCGATCGATCGCTACGATATGTGCGTTGTGTGCGATAATGTGACGTACGATCTATAATACGTTTACCAACGCTGTTTTTATAATTTGAAAACCCTCGACTTTAGCTCGGCGCGAGTGAGTCTGTACCCCGAACTCTCCATAAAGTATAGCGTACATTATACGGTCGTATAAGGAAACAACCCCTACGGCGACCGATTTCCTCTCACCTTTTTACTTGATCGCTTTCTCTCGCCCTCTCTCACTGTGTGTGTTCGTGTGCTCTACTGCTCTGTCAGCCTCTCGCACAACTTGCTGTCTGGTATGCCCGAAACGCGCACACCTGTTGACATGAAATTTTATGTAAATACGCAGAAGTTTTTGAATCGTCTCCATATCATTGGTAGGTACCTACAACGAATAATTTATTCGAACACGGTTCCCAAACATCGTTGTTGCAATTATTGTTCAACGATTTGTTCAAAAGTCTTAGCAAACAAAAATCACTTTCACGCCATAACGTTATATCTATTATTACAATAATATTATATTGTTGTGACACGCTGTGTAAATTACCTACTGGGAAACGTTGGTTTGGACGAGTACCTAACGACTAATATTACTGACACGTAGCCTATTATACTATTTGCGTTGTGTCCATCACTCCGTTCTAAACTAAATATACCTGCTTGACATTTTCCTCCGTATGAAAAAAATATATCACCCGTACAACTGCTGCGAACGACGTTTATAAGCTTAAAAAAGTTGATTTATTATATTATTGTGTTATGTTGACGTTTTTTAAAACTAGTTTTATTCTTTATGATGCATAAGTATTATCATATCGGAATAGATGCCTCCTATTTATTGCTGTATCAAACAAAAACTGAAAAACCACGTACCTTTATAAAATTATCGTTTTCTAGTCAAATGTACCTATAAAATTATTGTATTGCTGAAAATGTATATTATTTTAAGTATAAATTATTATTTTTAACTATAAATATTTATACATATTATAATATCATTTTATTATCTATTATATAAGCTATAAATATTATACTATAAAATATGTTAAATGATATTATCTTGTAACCGTATATAATTCATGAAAACGCATTGTAAATGTTTTCAAGTATCTATATTGATAAAGTTGTAAATAAAATATGTTTTATTTTAAACTAATTGATCTTGCACAGCGTTACCAGCTGTGACAAATTTTTAACATAAATATTTGAATGGTTTTAATCACATGTAAAATACAGGTCTTAAAAATTAAATACAATAATTGTATTATTATAATGAGTAATAACAACTTTGTTTTATATATAAAAAAAAAAAAAAAAAATGGCAACCTTATAGAAAAAAAAAATATGTTTGTTTTTTGTGAGTTAACAAAATTAAAAATTCTAAAAAATGGTTTCTATGTGCACATCTTGGTTATGGAATTGGATGCACTCAAATAATCGCTATTATACTATTAAAACGGAAAAGGTACATTATAAGAAGCATATAACATTATAATTTATTTATTTAAATATATATACCTATATAGTATATATGTATTTTCAATTGTACAAATGCAACACTATATTTATAGCTGCCGTACATATAGCCATATAGGAATAACTAACATCATAGGTAATCAACCACATCGATCACTAATTATATTGGAAACACGTAGTATATCTAAAATGTATAAACGCTCACAATAAATTTATATAATGAATAAATAAAATACAGTAATTTATACCACAGTAAACAAATCATATTAAATTTGTTGTATAATAAATTTTAATAATATCGTAAATTTTCCAGTACGCCACCGCACTGTAAACTTTGCAAAAACTTTCTCGTTAAAATGCGTACAAGTAATATAATATACCTATAGGTAAATTAAAACTATATTACTATACCTACGACTAATATATGTAATTAATATGTTTATATGTATACAAGCACTTATGTATACACATGACTACGTGGTAGTATATTACATATGCTGTATACTACTTGCACCCCCGAAAAAAAAATTAAGCAGATCATTACTTTAATAACCAATTTACGTACGTTTTTAATTTTTAGCAGAGATTTTATCTTTTGAATTTGCCTAGGAGAGCGATTCCTCAAACAATAATAATTTTATAGACTATAACTCATGCAATGAAATGTATATAATTGTGCATAATAAAAAATAATGTGTTGTTCAAGAACTCATACGTTATGTAAATATAATATTTATGTATACTATGATATCGGAGACTAAAGTGGTAAGTAATATTAATAATAATGATAATAATAATCAAATTGCTTTTATCTTATTACACAACATTCATTATCAATGTCAATTAGTGCAATTTAGCTCCAACATTATTTGACAATCATAAACTTGCAAGACGCATAATTATTGAGTCCGATATACTCGGTGTGTGTTTTTTAAAAGTTACATACATGATTATAAAATGTTCAAAAAAATTTTAGAAAATATTCACTTTTTTTGTATCTTCCACAAATTAACAATTCCCCTTACTTCTTATTTATAAAAATTATTTTATTTTAAACTATATAATATAACTTTCAAAAATAAATAAGAAACTGACAAAAATATTTTATATTTTTGTGACTTAAATAATAAAATATGAAAAACGAGAGATTTTTTAGTAACGTTAACATCGCTTTTTACAAAGTGTCAATTTTAATAAATCAAAGTGCGTAAAACCATTGTCGGAACAATTATTATCTTACCTGTTGTGGAAGCTATAAGTTCAATGCAAATATAAATATGACTGACGTAACTATACATATTTCTCCGGAACGGTCATGTGTTCGAATAGTAATGTTACCGAAAAATTATTTGTTCGAATAGTCGTATGTACAAAAGTTATTTATTTAAATTAAAAATAGCTATCTAATATTTTAAAAATTAACAAAAATTAAATTAAAAAAATTTCTTTAACGGTTCTTCACGGATTCGCCTATATTGCTTATATCAAAATTCGAAAAATTAGCCGAAGTTCAATTACCTTTCTTTGCCTGGTATAGGGTCAACGGCCACGACGGTGCTATATTCAGCTATATCGAAGTCACCAGATTAGACGTTTAACAATTATTACCTATGCGACCTTAGCTGATACACCAATAATATTTTTTATTTTTTTAAATTAATCTAATATATACCTTGACGTAACAAAAAACACAATTTTTGGGAGATATTCTAGCCAACATCCACTTGGTGTCTCCTGGGTAACCCAAATAGGCTATTCCCAACTCATATACTCTCAATGCTCTTTCATGATATTTAATATGTTATTTCGTTCATACGACTTTTCGAACATATATCTATTCGAACAAATAACTTTTCTAACACTTGTCATTCAAAAACATAACCTTCGAAGACATATACCCCACCCATATTTCTCTTATTAATAATACTGTGTTTAACTAAATTAATGAGATGACGAATGCTATTACAATCAAATTACATACATTTTAAATTAATCATTAATCATTAAATGTTTTAAAACTATTATATTTTTTTCAACAATTAGGAAAATAACATCATAAGCTTTTTTCATTACTGATAAATTTCATAATCTTTCTTTCACGCTTTCCATTCTTTTTCATACTTTTCTGAAGAACTTTCAAAGAAATGTATAAAATTGTCAAGTTAAATTTTTAAAGTGCTTTTAGTAATAGTTATCAATTTAATGGCTTCAACATTAAAACGGTTTTTTCATGTATCCACAATAATTTATTATTGACAATATTCTTTCTACAGATTGTTATTGACAATATTCTTCTACAGATGCATTTTTCCAGGGATATTCAATAATTCAATAATTATTATTAAGAAGTTGTTAATGAAAATGACAAACACATCACGTCATTTTTCTGTCTAATGCTTATTGCTAATTTAATTGTTTGTCGTCATTAGCTCTCGATCCTCATTCCACGAAAGCTGTTATCTGTTATTAAATTTATAACTTTGGTTATAAAACTGTTTTAGATATTTTCTTTCATACATCGATTTCTGTTTAAGATACAATGTAATAATACGGGAAAACGGGATTAAAATGGGACTATCATCTAAAAACGGGATAAAAAAACGTCCCGTTCGAAGTTTGTCGTGATAACGGGACATGATAATTTAAAAAGAGACATTTGGTCACCCTATTAGTCACTAATATAATACCCGGAAACAAAAAACTACTATTCTTAATATATATTTCCTCATCATTAATAAAAAGAGAACATAGGTGCTAACTTTTTCCACCAATATATTTAATCACAATAAATCGTTAAAAAAAAAAATTAAGACTATGCTGACATCCATTGAACAAAATATAACCCCACTAGCAACAAACCATCAACCTCAAGTTACTAAATATATTTTTTTTTGTTCAACAAACATTCAATTTTTTCAAATAATTAAATACATCGTATCTATAATTTATATTCTTAATAGTATGTGTTTATTTATTTTGAGCCATACTGATTAATATAAACATTTAAATAGTAAACACAATCACAACTTATGTGTATACAGTAATTTTAATTTACATTTAATCATTGAATTGGCGGTCGCAATAAAATTATTTTTAAATAGGGAAGGAGGGTGTATATTTGAAAAAAATATTTCAACCTTAGTTTTTATTACTTAGTCATTTAGAATAGGTATATTATAAGTAATATCCCTACAAATTTTTAAAGTTTTCCAACAATGTCCATTAATTATTTATCAAAAAATTTGTTGGATTAGTCGAATCAATGTCTGTTTGTGTTGTGTTTCTCAATTCGCAGAGTTATAAATAACGTAATATTCTGGGAACAGCTTGTCTTAAAAAAATGCTCTATAAATACCTAATGAGACAACATTGTTAAGTTTTCACCACCATCGTGAAAATAAAAAGATTTTTTTCAGCGATGCACTCACTTGATATTGAATATAAAAAATTTACTTTCAAAACACAATACACTTGTAGCACGAAATTATAGTCGGGTGCATCGTAAAATATGAATAAAGTATAATGCGAGGAATGTTGTGTTATTTTTTTTTTTTATTCATACTTTGTATAACAAAAATACTACAGTTACCTGTATTATTATATTTATTTTATATATCCATGTTTTTAGCAACCTCGTGACTACTAGATTTTATATGGAACATTTTATAGGTAACTTTTCATGTATTCGGCCATTAACTGTGTTGTTGAATTTTAGTCGTAAATGATCATTAGCTAAAGTATAATAAAACAGGCATGGTAAACAAATGAGAGGTTTTTACACGTACTCGCACGAAAATGTCAAAAATATATTCAACGACCACGAAAAACAATTTATTTTTCGATCAAAAAGACGGTTCCAATATTATTCCAATAGTGCAATTAATAGTGCCTACTCTGATTTCATACAGAAAAAAATATATGTGAACTCCCCAGATCATGGAATGTCCAAAATATAAGTAATAATATTTAAAAATAATTTTTGGTCGGTTGAATAGATTACATTATATTTTAGATTAAGTTTTGAACAATAAATTATTAAAATTCTAAGGACGAAGGTAAAAAAAGTGGCTTAACAATTGCCACACGCATACACACAGTTGAGAAATGAAAGTAAGTTGTGTTTTTTACTAAAATTAAAATTATAATGGTCTGATTCCATAAACATTCTTGCTCAAGATCAATTCATCAAGTCATTTTTTCATAAACCCCATTTTTCACTTTTATCGATATTTTCATAAAATTATGAATATTACTTAAAATATAACCTTCGATCAATGAACTTGCGTAAGTATTTTTATTTATTTATTTTTTTATCTATCTAGTCAAATAAAGCGCTTTTTCATTTCGTTTCACATTGCAAAGACAACTGTCGAAAAATTCAGTTTTGTTTTTGTTTAAAAAATGTTTACTTTGCTCGACAAAACATGATATATTACGTATATAATATAAAGGTAGATAGGTACCTACGTTTTTTTTTATATTCTATCGTTTTGAAAATTTTACATCATAGTCTTATAGAAAAAATAAAGTATATATACATCAACTACTGATGATGAAGTTTCAATATCCAAGTTTATTGATAAAAATAAATATCCTCCACGCCGATGTAAACGTAACAAAAATAAATTGTATTTTTATCACGTATGATACACCAAACACACTGCAGAATAAACATACTTATATTTTTATTAAATATGTGTTTATTTTAAACGTAATACTATTTTAACAATCTAATAATATAACTATTGTGATCAGACAATTTTGACGTAATATTATAAAATTCACACGCACCAATAATATTATGTAAATTTTAACATCGTTCATGCAAGGCCAGATTTGGTTATTTAAATATTTTATCCATTTTTATAACACAAATAATAATATTTTATGTAAGTGCAATAAATATAAAAAATCTAGTATTTTATAGTTCTCATTTTTAAAACAGATACATATAAATAGATATACAAATTTATTAGATACCAAAATATTATGCGCTAACGCATGTTGCGGAATTATCTTGAAAAATTCTTACCTTCTTTAATACTTTATACTTTCCGTGGAATTAGAACATACCTGGGCGGTGAACCAAAATCACTACCTAGGTTCTATGACAAAATCGCACCACGGAACAAGTCTGCTGTTTAAATAACGACAAAATCCTCGTATGTTCTTATTCCTAAGCGAGTATACTGTCACTCTGAGCCTATTAAAGAATTTTCAGATTTAACAGTCGATTCCGTGTACCTACTGACTAAAGGGAATAGGGATTCCATTAACTCAATTTCTACCTCATTGTTGTCTTAAGAAAGAAATAGTTTCCATTTTTTCTACGTACCTCTTCAAGAGACTTTTCCAGGAATTTTGTCATTTAAAAAAATACTTTCCTAGAACTTGAGTAAACTACTTCATTGGCTAATCTGGTATTGATATCCCTACGTTGTTCAGTTCTGAAAGTAAAAAGACGATCGATTATAAGAAAAGTTTAATACAATATTTTCTCGACAAAACACGTTTATTGGTTTAAATCACAAACATATCATAAAAATCATTCAACTAGGAGCGTCATATTAGATTTTTTTTGGGGTGTGCGGGATTTCAAGCAGGCCATTTTGAAACTTCACCGGGCCATATATATATAACGTATATGTACATATTCCTAATTTAATCATTTCCATATTTTCCACATACCGAATTATTGCATCACTTTACATTTTAATATAATTATTTATTTTATTTTCAAATAACTTATAACAAAAGGCCTCAAAAAACTGTTTTTTAATGAAAACCACATTTGATGCAAAATCTAAATAAAGTAATAAGAATTGAATTTCGAAACGTCATATCCGCCATTAGATGAGATGTCAAATAATTATGAACATAGAAAAAAAAGTAAAAATAAACAACTTTATTTTATTTTTTGGCCCACAGTAACCTGTTCATTTATTATCATTAATAATATTATAGCCATACTACACTGTTTCATCGCAGATAAGTCATTGGGAGTGCATGGGAAGAAAATTATTCACGTCACGACGGCTGCAGCAGGTTGACTTCAAATATTATCATTATACATTTATGCTAGCAAACCGTGAAATTATTAAAACGTACCTAACAGCCAATGACATATTTAATATTTTTAAGCGAAAAACTTGTAAGACTGAAAGCTGATGACTTTTAAATTTGTTTTTAAATCAATGGAAAGACACTTTGGTACCTAACTAGACGTTTAAAACGGTTTTAGAATTTCCATAATCAAAAAAAAAAAAAAATGTTTACTAATATATCAGTTGTATGCGGCGGCAGAAAATACTAGTAAATCTTTAAAAATTTATTTACATACTTATTACACGACACTATGTGACACGTGTGTGCTGCACCACATTCATATTATATTCGAAACCGACATTACAGAATCATAACGAGGTATTAAAATCCCTATTGGAGCATAAAAAATAACCATTTTCATATTTGTATGTGGTGGATTATAAATGTTTATTTTTTTTTTTTGTGACGATTTCAGAGAAAATAATAATTCTAGTCATCATTTGTAGTGTTATTGTTTTGATACACTTTGGGAGGGAGGGGTATTATACTATAATTGACTAAATACTTATACGGTCTCAGAGATTGTGTTTCAAATACAAGAAACATATAGAATGCATTCTTGCCATAAATTATCAAATTTATTAAGAAAGATAATATCATTAAATTATCATTAAAAAATAATTCAATGTGAATCGATGGCGTTAAAAATCGAAATAGATAGGGAAATACACGAGTATGTGAATATGTGACCAAAATAAGTAGATTCATTAGATTATCAAATTCATATTTTATAAATGCGTCGAACGTTTATAGCAAATGAAGAATACACATTTTAGACTTTGCTATGCAATTTATTGAATTGGACTGTTAAGGTTAGGTGGTAACATTTTTATAAAAATTAATTAAAAAAATATAATATACAAATAATATATAATAATTAATAGGTATATAGTCAATTTAGAAGATAGAATAAATTTAGCACCACCTACGTATCAACAATACCCATATTGTTTATCGTGTTTGACTCGATCGTAAATAAACGCCTGCGCGTCACCAATATACTGTTATCTGCGTATCCACTATTACGTAGATATATTATTACAGTACAGTACCTAGGTCCTATAGATGATAATATACGGAGTATAATGTGACTCGATGATTAGTAAGTTCGCAAACACACCTAAAAAACTTCACTTGAAAATGATTATTGGTCAGAAACTACCTATTTTTTTTTATTATCAATTCATTATCAGTAGTAGGTATTAAGTATAGTTATCACCGCTCAAGATAGTAGGTACCATAATATTATGTGCGGTTAAATCGTTTTTAATATTTGCTCAAGTAGTAAGTACTATTAGTCTGTAGTTGTGTACCTACTTGTAATCTGTATGGACTATAAAAATGTTGCAAAACGATCATGATTCGTGACGGATGATTCACGTGATATGTTAGCTTCGGCGAGATTCATGAAGAAAAATCGTTGTTTACCGAATTTTGACCACCGCATCAGTCGATGGACCGCCGACTTAAGAATGCCCTATTCGCCGCGTCCGCAGGAGTCTGCGGTTCGTCGGCCGGCTTGTTCAGCAAGATTGGAATGAGCGTTGACGAGTTCTTTGGCTACGACGATCAGGTAAAATGGTATAGATCGTTTTATCGTACAAAACTCGTGTGTAGTATTGGTATTACAATCCGTGAGTAAATCCGTCTATAACATCGTCCGTGACAACGGTGAAAGCGCAATTCCTAGCGGTCTATTAATTTTTGTTTTCCCCTCGTAGGCTCTGTACACCAATTTGGCCAGATTCATCATGTTGACAATGGTCGTGCTGGCTAATATCGGCGTTTGGCTAATGTATACCAGATCCCTGCGATACGGTTCCACGTTGGTATCCACCGGCATCAGCATTGCTGCCAATTACATCTTTACTGTGAGTATCAAGCGGCCTACTATTTGCACAATTGTATGGCTTCCCCATTCGTCTTTAACGTCATAACAATACTTTAATAAAACCAATGCATTGGGCACTTAAAATTGTCATCAGTTGTAAATTGAAAAAAACCAAAAAAGTAATCTGTATGTATATCTTGAAGCAAAAACTAACTCAAAAATGTATAATATTGACTAATGTTTATTGGCAGAAAAAAAAATCAAGTACGATAGCATTTGGGTTGCCTCTTAAAAAGTTGACTGCCTTATGTTTGATAATATGTAACATCCGTCGAACTGTCAAATATTCTTCTTCAGATTTTATTTATACTTGCCATTTTGTCTTAAGTTTTGTCTAAAATACTCAGCCAAGGTTCATAAAATTACTGAGTACATAAAAAATGATACTCAAAGCATTTGTAAGTTCAGTTAAATTGATTTGGTAATCAAATTGTTAATTTTAAATACAAATTATAAAATACATATATTTATTAGTTACCTATGTATTAAAATAAAATAAATAAATATGTATTAGATGTCCTTAATATTAATAACAGTTTAATTTTTTCAGGCTATAACTGGTGTATTATTGTTTGCTGAGAGTTGTTCAATTCTTTGGGCATGCGGCACATTTTCTGTCATGATTGGAGTTATACTGATGTCAATTTGAATATTTAATAAACACAAATGTTTACTGATCTCATGCACATATTATAATGGTTATAATTATTTTAATAAATTCACGCATAAAAAAAAAAAAAAAAACACTTACATATTTTATTATTACTAAACATACAATTTTTCATGACCTTAAAAAAAACTACTTTACCAAAAATTAAAATATGTGTTTACAATGATTATATTTTTTTTCTATTTCAGATAATTTATTAAAAATAACCTATTTTTTATTAATAAAATTAATATATGTGTGTAATCATGTAACAATCGGGGACAAACTGAAGACTCGTGTTATTTATAAATCAAATTACAGTATATAATATTTCAAAAATAAAAATAAATTATTTTTATACTTCAATCTCAAAAGAAAAAGGAATTTTAGAATAGTATGCACATGTATGTAGTTACATGCTGTAATTAATTTTAAGCCTGAAATTCTGAGCTTAACAAAAAAAAAAAAAATACATGTACATTAAAATCTGAACTCTAAATATAAAATTATATTATTTATATTGAATATCTAGTATCTTATAACTTGTCAAGTTAGAAACCATAAATAAATACAACTCATTAAAAAATTAGAATAAACTGCCAATTACTCTATCATAAAGAATAATTAAAACAGTTGTTTTGAATAGACTTTTTTTTTTGTTAGGTTAAAACTGTTGAATATTGTCATTATCAAGTTATTTAAATTTGCAGTATGATCCATTCAATTTATTTAGTAGATTTTCCATATCAGTTGTTTTGTTTAAAAAAAAATAAATAATACTACACTAATTATAAGAAGTTTAAAGTAATTGTAATGCTATATTTTTGTAAATAATTTAAAATATGTTCAATAATTTAATTTATAACATTTTACTAAAAATATTTTACTTTAGATACGATTAATGGAATGATAAGACTTTTTGTAAGTATTTCAATTTAAATACATAATATAGAAATGGATCGATGACTAACATTTATTAGAGGAATGTATTTATTATGGCAGTATGCAATATAATACTTTTATAGTTGTTTGATGTAAAAAATATTATAATTATCCAAAAGTAGAAAAATATAAACACACAAAGTAGTTCATTATAACAATATATAAAACAACAATTAATTTAATTATTGCACTAAAGAATACACATTAAATGAACTAATATCATGAAAACGAATAAAAAATAATTCTTTATTACATTAATTTGGAACTTTCAGGATAAATAAAACAACTTTTTTCTTTACTAAAAAAATACTGTTATATTTTATGTTGTGAACTGGCACAAAACTCAAATATTATAAAAAATAACTAGCTAAATATTGTTACCACATCACAGTCTCTTTGGAACAGATAACAATTATAAAAATTAATTAGCACTCCAAAATATAATATAAAGTAACAATAATTATACTATAACATATCGGCGGACTAACTGATATTATATAATATTTTATCTTTTAAAAATTTAAAACGTTTACAATACAAGTGAATGAGAAAAATTAAACAACATATATGTATGTAAATATAAATAATAAATTGTAATACTATATAACTGGACGGATACAATTAAATATAATTTTAAAAAATGTTATCCAATATTTCTTAAAAAAATATGATAATAATTAAATAGTTTTCATTTTATTTTGCTTTTTACAAAAATGTTTACAACTATTTATATACACAACAAAATATATATAATATATATATAACACACTATAATTGATAACATTTGTTGGAAATGCAAAAGGAAAAAATTGGTAGACATTTAATAAGGCGACAACATATTATGTAAGTACGATGACAACAACAATTGAGATAAATCTGCCTATTGAAAGACACTAGTCTCCAACTTCACCAATCAATAGTATTAGGAACATTGTGTGTATGTGTATGTTTGAATATCTGTTATTATAATTAAATTATAACAATATTTCATAAATTTTGTTTGACTTCTAGCAGTTCAGGATGGTTTTCGACAATGTTTAGCAAAATATTGTCGATGTAAGCTCGCAACTGATCATTCACCTCCTGCTGCTCCTTCAAGGCAGTTTTCATCTGAAAACAATCAAAATTGTCTATAACATAACCTATACTAGTAACTATATTATGTAAATAAGAAATTAAAAAAAAAAAACAATGTGCAACCAATACAGTTACTATAGTATCCAATTAATATTACAGATTTAAGCTATCTTCAGGTGACAAAAAAAAAAAAAAAACATTGAATAAACACTAAAATAAAATATTTCTCAAAGATAAAAAATATAAAAATTAATAAAACTTAAAGTTGAACGTTAATAAAATTGTGTTTAATTTATTACCATCATAAACAATTAAAATGTATTTCATAAAGTTTTATAATTATTATGATATACTTATGAATAATATATTTTGTTCATTCAATAATTATTTATAATTTTGGGAATTTATGAATTTATATTGAAAGTTATCAATTAATTTTTGAATATTAAAATTAAATAATGGGACACCAACCCATATCATGGGAAACTTTGCATTTTACATTGTAATTAGTTATAAATGTTATAATATTATATTATTATAATATATAAAACACAAGTGAAAATTATATTAATTTTTAACTATGTGTATAATAATAATTGAATCTTTTAATAAATAAATATCTATTTTTATTAGAAAACGTGAAGTTATACAAAGATTATAACTGATAAAACATACTAAAGAGTAACATTAACAATAACAATTTATCAATTTTATTGTCAACCAAATAATAAATAATAAAAAAAATAAATGGTAAATTGTTATTTATTATTTTTAGTACGCATGCAAAGCCCATTCGAAATTTAATAAGATTTCAAGTGTGTTATAAATTCCATGCAAAAAGATTTAGGTAATACATAAATTCTTTTTTTGTAAAATCTTATCGCTTTTGCTCGCATGAGTATGTGTTAATTTATATTCCTGTAAATTTGCGTAAACACAAAACAAATCTTGTAATCATTCATTCAAGCAACTCGAAGACACAGCAAAGATGAGAAGACACCGTGACAATAATACTATTGTTTATGTTCCCTTGTTGCTACGGCTGCTAGACAACGACACCAATGACACTGAGAGTTAACAACCGCGACTCGATTGAATCGTTTTCAACTGTGATTGTTGAACTCGCGGCTAGGTTAGGTAAAATTATGATTCTTTTATCTATTAATCAATATTAGTCGGTTCGATCTTCGATTTAATAAATTATGTGTTGTGGTATATTTACCGGGTGCGGTTAGGAAAAAAAAAATTAAGAAAAAAGCCAAACACTGTTAATTCGTTTGAAAAAAAAAACATATTCTAGTAACCAAATTAAAATTACCTTGTTTATTTGCAAAGACGAGGGACTGTGCTGTGAAAAGGAGCAAAAAAAAAAACAATATTATATATAAGTACTTCAAGTGTGTTGTTATATCTACATTTTACATATTTTTAAATTGTATTATATTATTAGGTGTATCATACATATTATCATTTGTACTCGCGTGATGAATATTATTTGCTCTCACTATTGCTTTATTACGTGTACTACTACTTCTACTTACATTATGAAAATGTTTATTGACATAATTCGGGTTAGATTCGTTATTTCGGAATTGTTTTTGCTTTTTTTTTTACGGTTTATAAAAATATTACTTGTAAGCACGTGTACGCGATATTATTAGACAAATGATATGTTATAAAAGTATATTCCAAACATGAATAACCATTAGACATTGTTAATACCACACTTACGTCATCGTGAGTCAAACCGTCGAGTTCGGATGCGAGGCTGGGTGACTCTGTCAACAGCAATCTACCTCTCTCAATGCCTTTGGCTATGGAAGAAGCTTGCAGTTCGTCGTACGAGTCTTTCAACGCTAACGAAAAAATAAAATTAAAATAAATGCAATTAACTCGCTCTAACTGCCATATTATATAGGTTAATGTATTTTTGTGTATATCGAGTGTAATGCGATAAAAGAATCATCAAGACTAGTAAATTACATATCCTACTATAATCTTTTTAGTAGTAGTTTTCAACTTTTTTTAAGCACATCACATGTTAGCAATAAATAACTTTTTTGAAGACCTATTTATTTTTTTAAATTGCTTACATCAAATTAGATAAACAAAATCATATTTAATTGTACATTATTATTGATTAATTTATATTTCATAATAGTTTTATTAATTAGAAGTAATTATTAATTACTATAAAAAACTTTCAAATGGTCACAGCACATTTGTTGAAAACCACTGCTTTATAAGTAACACTTACACCGATTCTGATGTTTTAGTGACTCTAACTGGGCTGTAAGCTCAGTGACGTAGGGCGACGGTGAATGCAGTTTGGTGATCATAGCTTCCTTTTCAAGTCGAGATATTTCTAAATCTTTGGTTAGACCTTCGATAATCTATAAATATAAATACGACATAAATGTATAATATAACTTACAAGTAACATAGTCAAACAGCATACAAACAAAATTCTTTATATATAATATACAGTATTGTTATTATTGTTTTAAAAATTATAAACGAGACATTTATACATTTTTTTATACTGACCTCTTCGTTGTCCCTTTCTTTTTGTTTTAACTTCCTAAGTTCGGCTTCCAGTAGACGTATTTCATCTTTGAACGACTGAGCACCCACATTGAGATCGCTCACTCGTTGTTCTAACGAAATCTTTTCACTTCGCATCGCCTCTAGCGCAGATTTACATTTTTCTGCCTCCAATCGTAAATTCTCATTAGCCGACTCAATACTTTGAAGTCTATAAACATTTAAAAAAATATTTTTAATTTACAACTATAAATATTACAGGTATATTATTTACTGCTTGAATGCAAAAAGAAAAATGTTAAAAAGACCCATAGCATTAATAAGTATTTTATGTTGTACAATAAATTAATTAATTTAACATAAAAAATACATGTAACTTATACAGCATTAACTCAATTTTTATTTTTAAATAAAGCTTTAAAAATATTTGAATATTTCATTTATAAGCCCTTTGCTTATTCATTGTCGTCAAAATAAT